CCTGAGACAACAGAGGTGTATCTTCCCATGCCAAAGTCCCGAGGAAATGGGAAGAAGAAAGGGCAGATAAGGCCCACATTTGGAAATGTTTTTAAACGTTCCTACCCCACAATATCGTCATGTCCTTATTCTTTTTCCTCTTACACATTCTATTATTCCTCTATCTCCTCACTCCTTTCATTTTTTTTTTTTACTATTCAATCTGCCATTCTCAAGAATCTTTCCCACTTAAAATGACAGTGATTACAGAAGCTCAATCTAATAACTCTTCTTATGTGCTCCACCGTTCTCTTACCTGCAGTGTAAACTCTTGTGACAAATTTTTACTTTTTCTGTTGTTGTATAGAACTTACTACAACTAGGATTCCAGCTCTGGTATGCCTCTGGCACTAACCATATAAATAAGGGTAAAATGACAGGCAGACCTGTTCTGCAAAATATAGCAGGTGCCACTTCACATGTTGAGGCCTCACTGACAGTCACTTAGGTAAAAATAAAAGGCAAATTGGTAACCAGAGAAGAAGTCTTTCTATGTGAAGTTCCACTCCTCACTCCCAATGGCAGACAAAACAGGTCTGAACAGACAACATTGGGATCTGCAGAAGGGAAGCGCATCAAAATGTTGTCAGCAGAATCTCTTTGGAAATATCAGTCCGCAAGGGGTATGGAGGGGAGGTTAATCAGGGAGAAGTGTGTTGTCAGGGTCTGGAGAACCACAGATGGACAAACCTAAGCAAGCAATCATGGAGTCAGCTATAAAATTTGATACCTCTTGTGCTGCCTCCATCACCCACATTTATTGCCAGGCTCCCTAAGATTTTCTCATGATGAAAAAGGCAAGCTTCATGCTCTCAGAAGGCTGGTTCAGGGCTTCTCCTGTTGATTACCATGTGATAAAATAATCTGAGAAACCTTGTTTTGAAATTAATCATGAATGGAAGATTCCTGTCCAGTGCACTGAGAGAATCTTTAAGACCAACAAGATACTACTTACTTAGGTAATCATTGTGGCTTCTTCAGCTCTGTGCAGCAGCAGTTATTTGGCTCCTAGGCATCTATAAAAGGAAGGAAAGAACTTGTCAAAGAAGGATGTAAAGAATCATATAGGCTGATATATTTGGTATCAGCCAAATAGATCCCAGAAATCCTTACTCCAACTCTTGTCCTTTAATAACTGTTAAACCATTCTTTAGTGAATGTTTTATGTTAGCCATAACAGAGGGTGAAAACAGCAGGTAGGAGGAGTTTAACTTGATTTCCTCTGTCTCCATCCATGTCGCGTCATGGATTTCTGTTCTTTTTCACTCAAGATAGGAATCACGCTTGTCCTTATTTCAGAATTAGGTGCTGTAATCATCCATCACTGTTGACAAACTTGTTCACACCAGGTCCAACTGGATCCAGCCATACCTGGAGGCAGTGTTAAAACAGCCTTTCCAGAACCAAGTGTTGTTCCATCTCAACAGTGTAAATGTGAATGTAACCAGAAAAGTGTTCAACCCAATAAATACTCTACTAGATTCTGTCCAATCTAAACCTTTGGTAAACTTCTCCACTCATCTTCTGCTGGATAATGTTTTCGGCTTGTGTATCTGTGGTGCTCTTTCATTTGTGTATCTGTGGTGCTCTTTCATTTGTATGTCTGTGGTGCTCTATTTACTTCCATCTCCACTGCTGTGTTTCTGTACCCTACCTCTACTTTCCTCTGGGACATTCAACAGAAGTAAATATTACAAGGACTGAGATCTACTTTTCAAAAACAGTGCTTTTGTGATGGTGGAATATTCTCCTGTTTTGCATACTGTCAGGAATTTAACCCCTAGCTGCTCTTTAACTCATCCCAGCTCATCAACAAAACGTAAAACATATTACAAGTAACTTACAGGTCCTTAGCATTTCAAGTTTCATGTCAGCTCACTACAAAGAGCATTTGCTGGCTGGATGTCTCACAGCATGGGCCAGGAAGATCTGTAGAAGGTTTATATGCAATATACTCCTAAGTCTACGAGGAACAACTTTTGGAAAACGCCCAACTGCATCAGTATTATACAAGGAAAATGCTGTCAGAGTCTTTGCTCTTCTGTCTTTCATGCACAGCCAGTATGCATGCTTGTCATCAATGAATTCACACGTATTATGTATGTTTCTAGTACTACACATAATTAGTAAAACAATAATGCAATTATAAGGTACTGATTTCAGCTCAGAATTGAGATGTTTCTGGAAGCCTTCTGAGCAATCAGATTTCACTGCACTGAAGCTTTAATTCATGACTCCCACACACTAAAAATTAACTGCTGGCAGAAAAGCAGTTCACTGTAGGACAGAACTACTCTGCAATCATGATGTTCAACAGTGACCTTGGAAAGCTCTGTGAACAAAGTTGCTTTTTGTGGGCAGTAACTTTGCTCTTGGTTTAGCTGGATGTGGATACACAAGAAGTAAATGTATCAGAAAGGCCAGGCTGGGGGATGTGTTCAGCACTGACTTCTAGATATGGGACCATGTATTTTTAAAAGATAAGAGATTTAACTATAGCGCTTTTCCTCTGAGGAAATTTACATTAGCTGTTATGAGAACAGCAACAAAGTCCTTGTTGACTCTAGCTTTTTACACTGCAGCTAAAAAGACACAGATCCCATGAACTGTAAGCCAGAAAAACACATACTTTCATATGCACAGGATACTTGGGATATAGGACATGTAGTAACTTAAAAAAAAAAAAAAAAAATACACACAGCCATATTCCTCATAATCTGAATTATACCAAAATTAGCAAATGCAGCTACTCAGACCCTCTCATTAGCTACCTCTGGCTTGGTCTGCTGCTTCTGCGTGTGACACCAAAGACTGGGAGATGGCAAACTAGGCTGTCTGTGTGGGAGGACAGAGCACTGTTCCACATCACATTTTCCTTACCATTCTCTACATCCAGATTTCTCTCCCTGCTCAACTCCACTCCCTTCCAGACCTTGAATATAATCAACCTTCATCCTCTTCTCCCTATGAGGACCACCTGCCCACACCATGTCCTCTTTGCTCAGTTGCACATCTGGTTTTAACTGCTGCCACAGAGCAATGCTAGAGAACTCACTGCTGAACTGGTGCACTCTCAAGCTGAACACAGTCAAAAAAAACATGCTAGAGGATTGAGTATGGTGGGAACACTTTGTAGGACTGGAGAGTGCTGCTAGTGGCTGTGTATGATGGTGTATGACTTGGTGAAACAGATCTTGTTAGGAAATGAAGGAGAGGAAGCTGCAGGACACTCACTGGGAGTTTAAAAGACTGGCTTTTTGTACTGTTGGGATAACCTAACAGAGTAAAAAGTTTTCTGAGGACCTGGCTTTCAGTGCCAAGCCAATCTAATCTGTAAATCTCCTGCTGTCAAAGCTTCACTACCTTAAATCAAGTTATAGCTGCTAGACTGCATGTTCCTCCAATGCAGATTGCAACAGTCATGCACGCTATCATCAAAGCTTTCCAAGTGCTTGATCTTACACTCTCATGCATTAAATCCTAAACTCCATCTCTGTTCTTCCCGGAGGGTTTCTCAGGTAATAGGAGGAGCCACTATATTTAGAGTCCAGGAAGGCTGACAGAACTTCCTCAAGCCCACAGCTTTCTGTTGTCTCTGTTGCTGATGAGTCCTGCAAAAAGACTCAAGCTGCTTAGGAAGACCTTCTCATGCCAAGGGACAAGCACAAGTGCAGCAGCACCTAGGGAGGAACTGAACTGAGAGCTCAGATGAAATACGCCATGCTGTTCATAGCTGCAGAGCAAAGAGAGTCTACTCTGCCAACGCAGAAAGCCAAAACACAGTTCAACTTTCTTATCTGCAACAGCTGAGAAGGCACTGTGTCACCTGGCAGGGCTCCTGGCAGAACTGGCAAGCATGGGGACTAGGAAAAGGGGCATGTGGGACGTGTGTCCCAAGGACAGGGCAAAGAAGTTAGGACAAGCCTGGGGATGAGTTAAGTGATGCCACTGGATACAATTTCCTAGCAACTAAGAACCTCCATGCTCCAACATTCTGTGCCCAGCAGCCAGGGCCTAGTGGTGTGGAGTTGCTGGGATGAGCACAGTTCCATGGTGAATAGGAGCCAGGGGGGTCTGGTGAGGAGCCTGGGGTCCTTCATTAGCCTGCGTCTCCTTCTAGCATGTTTGCTACTCCCTCTAGAAGCTCCAGCTGTGCTACTTGGAATTAGAGAAGTTTGCAAAAGGGTTTTTTCCACTGTGAAACTTTACTGGGAAAACAGAAAACAAGCACATTACTTTCCTCAGCCTCTGGTGTGTAACTTAGCATCTCCTCTGGCTTCTGAATGACAGCACCTAGCACAGCTCCTCTCATGCCTGAGCACTCACAGCCTGAGTGGCCCTACATGTTTGGTATTCAGCTGAGATACCTCACTTTTGCACAGGGCAAACAGCAGAGCTGACCTACCACAGCACAGGCTAGATGTGGTTAGCCATCTATGCATGCTTTCTTGACAGAAGCAAGCTGAGTCTTACCATACCTCCTTAGAAAACCAGTATTTCCTGCACTAACTAGAGGTTTTTGCTTTCAGGTACATGGAAAAGCTGTCATCAAGACTCTTGCCAGCAAACAGCAACAAACATAGATTCTCCGATTCACTTAACAGCCAGCGCTGGAGGTTCTTAAAAAGTGGCCTGGATGATTTCAGAAGCGGCTTCCCTCCTTCATCTGATAACATCATCATCCGAGGCAGAAAGGGGCTTTCCCCCATCATTCTACAGAGCAGATCCCACCTGGCTCAACAAAAGGCACGGAAAATATCTGTTAAACCCACATGCAAGCTCAAGTCAGAGGTGGAAGCCAGGAAGGAGTTCACAAAGGACATTAATCATCACCTAAGCCACTGCCCTCAGTTACTGCACTCTCATTTGAAAGACCGCGTCTTTCCAAAGGTAAAGTTGCTGCCATTCTCTTGCAGTAAACATCTGTCCAGTACCTGAAACACAAAAACAGTCCAGGATTGTGTTCCCTCTTGCCTTAAAAGTCTCCTCCCTCATTATCTGTTACAAACAGGAAGCCAACAGAGTCCAAATGTATCTCTGATCTTATTATAGGAACAGCCGTAAGAAACTGTCAACTGTCTGGGATGCCTTGCTGCTATGCTGATTAGTCACACGGTTCAGTTACTAAACCACTCCTGTAGGACACTGGAGAGAAGAGGCAGACTTGGAAACATCTCTGAAGTGTGCTAGGAATAATAAAGAATCTCTGATAAAAATAAAATAAAATAAAATAAGATAAAATAAGATAATAAAAAGGTGACCACATACTTTTTTTTTTTCTCCTGTATTATGAAGCATGTACTACCTAAAAAGTTCAGATTAAAGTCTGCAACTCTCAGTCAAAATTCAGGGCTCAAATCCCACTGGAGCAGATGAAAATCCTGGCCTCTGACACAAATTCTCTGATTTCACTCTCTTTGTATACAGAGAATGCCAAAGTGCAGAGAAAATCACAAGCCAGTTTATTGTGTAATGCTGCCAGGTGCATCTATTCACTTCAGTATTCACTCGACGTGAACGGAGGGGACAGAGAGACTTCTTATGCGTATATGCCTCATTTTGGATTCAATCTGACTGAGTACAGTTCAAGTAGTCCATACTCAATTCTGAGTGAACTGTAACCTACAGAGTGCACACTTAAAATCAGCAAGCCAGTGGCACATGTTTTCCTGACCTGTGAGTCATGTTCCACAGGAATGCCACTTTGACCTTACAAAGCTTACACTGGGATACCATCGGACAGACTCTGGTGAAGCAGATTTGAAATAAGTTGTAGCTATATTCATGGTTATGGTTTCACCTTATTCTTCTTTTGAAGTCAAAGATAAAATTTCTATATATTTCTATGGGAGCAAGTGATTCAGTGATTCTTAAAATCCCACTGCAATGCTTTAGGAATCTGTTTCCTTTAATTTCATTAGCCCTACATGCAAGTTGTTAATGGCTTGAAAAGTATTCACAAACCAATTCTGCAGCTAAAAATTTACACAGCTGCATCAAAACCTGGATACATTCT